TAAATTAGAAGAATAATTAACATGAAAAGTTATTTATTAAATTTTAAAAAGTGATTTTAATACATTAAAAAATAAATATAGTACTATAAAGTATTTATTAAGTTCTTATTTTTTATTTAATAAATATATTTAATTATTAAAAATTTAAATACACTTTTAATTTTTTACACTATACTCGGCTGCAACATGTTTACAACGTTCCAACAGTAATTTAATTAATTTAAGCTTCCATATTATGCATAATTAATTATAAGTACGAAATCGGAGATATATATACATACATATATGTACATATATCGAACTATATGAACATGAATAAAATGAGATTAATTAATCTTTAATACATACATCTTAATTTAAACTATTAACACGATTATGTGTACAAGTTATCATATGTATATATTTTCTATCAGAAGTTTGTCGCACATGTACATATACATATACATATATATATATATATGATTGTATATTACAAGTCACATACATGCTCCTTAGTCTTTGGATTATAGGTAGATAATCCGTGTAAGTATCTATTATTTGCGAGTTTAGGAATTATAATCCACGTGCGGAAAATTACCTGCTAGACTTTTCAATCTAATCCTAAATAGAATCAAGAGTTACAAATTTTTAATTCTGAATTTTTTCATAAATTCATTATCCAGAATCTCCGGAGCCTTAGTGACTTCAAATCAATAAATATTCACTCACCTATACATATATCTTTGACCATATATATATATATATATATATATGCTTTATGTAAAGAGAGATTGTGTGAATCAATCAGAAAATTAAAGAGATTTAACCCATGTATACACATATACATACACACGCGCACATACATATGTATGTAAGCAACCGATAGGTTAAGAAATCTACATCACCATCCATTCAAATGACTAACAGCTAGACATTGCAACATGGAGAAAAATCTTGATCGTCATTTTGGATTTTTCAAAAAAGAGTTTACAAGAATGGAAAGTTGCTCTTTGCAAGTTATTTAGGCCTTATGTACTAATTAAAGTCCTTGATGGAGATGCAAATTAAGCACCATTTTGTTGAATAATGAAAACCCTAGTTTTATACTCCTCGATTGATTGTGTATACATATATATATGTATGTGTGTGTACACATAAATATACATATATGATATCGTTTTGTCATCTTAGAAACGTAAGCAGCGTAGTTAGTACAAATTTAATTCGAATCGATCAATTTTAATAAGTTTTTTTGTCTGGTTACGATATATATTAAATTTTAATAAACACGTTTTGACACGTATAACAGCATAAACAATAAAGAGATAAGAATTTATTATTTAAAATTTATCGAATATAATTAGATTTATCGAATAATTTAATGAATTACGTGAAAGAAAAATATGTTGAATTAAAATAACAAAACAACTAACCAGGCGAAGGCCTCAATCACATGTTGAAGGGTCATGCAATTGTGATTTTGCCCTAATTGGAGGGATATTAAGTCCTTTTTTCTGTGCCATGAAGACCGGTGCTTGTCTCTTCAAAAAACTTGTTTGGCACCATACACATATATACACCTATATACATATATTTATGTATGTATGTGTATATATATTTATCTATTGGGTTGGATATGTTAGATAATAAAGTTGAAATATATTAAATCACAAATTAAAATTTATGAAAAAAAAAGTGAAATCTATTACTATGTATACATATAGATATATACTTACCTTATCTAAAGGTATGTATATATATATATATATATATATATGTGTGTGTGTGTGTGTGTGTGTATCATACGATATCAGATGTTGAATATAGAGTTGATATTCAATTATTGTGTATATATATATATTTTTTATTTAAATGAAAGATAAGTTTTATTAATGTTGAAGAGTTAAATATACACCATTACAACTGAGATCGTAAAAAAAAATGAAAATATTTATCATTTAGTTAAATAATAATTAATAAATAAATAATAAAATTATTTATTAAGTTAATAAAAAATAATTTAATTTATAAATATTAATCAATAAAAATTGTGAATTACCGAAATTAAAATTTTTATATGTGCACGAACTCGTGATGAATATTAATGTAGTTTGAAACCGAAAGTTGACATCAATAATAAAATAATTTTTTAAAGTGCTCACGAGTATTTTACTCTTTTGATCAACAAGAATTTGAAAGAGCTTGTTAGGTTTACCATTGAAATTGAGAAGTTGACTCATAACATAATTCGATAATTACATGTACATACATATATATATATATATATATATATATATATATAAACATATACATACACATATGTGCACAGAAGCCATTAATTATGAACTTGTAATAGCTTATCTAATATATGCAAGTCACATGGGAAATCCTCAAAAGTATGAACACTCATGTACATCCATGTTGTAAGAAGCTATGCTGTCAACTTTCTTCAAAAAATATCTTAGCAACTTCATTTGGGTTCATGCACGAATATCTTTTTTATATATATAATGCATGAATCTTATATAACACATACATATATATATATAGAGCACGTGCATAATTAATTCTTAAAACTAAGTTAGTTGACAGAAAATCTTTTTTTTTTTTTAATCTTTAACTCCTTGAGAAAATAATAAAAATAGTTAGAAAAATAAATAATCTTATATAACATATACATATAGATTTTCAGCAGAGAATTTATGACTGTATTCATTCACCATCAATTTTGGAGCCTTTACGCGATATATATTACTTTGGATTTACCTACTATATATAGATATATATATATATATATATATTACTTTGGATTTACCTACTATATATCTATATATATTACAAATTGATTGCAATGTAAATGCCAAATAATGATGATCAATCATCAAATCAGTGCATAATATATATTAATAATTGCATATATGAATATGTGTATACATACACGCTAATGCTAGGATTGATATAGACTCAAAACATATTCCTGTCTCTCTGTGTGTTATGATCATGGGATCCACAAGGAATCAGAAAAATCAGCAGTATATACACACACACACACACACATATATATATATATTTAAATTAGTAACTTAATTAAAATATTATTAACAATGTAAATCATGTTCAAAGATTCATATAATTATTGATTATAGTTTATAGGAAAAGATGGTAGAATATTTAATTCTTGATTTAGACTCGGATGAAAGACTTAATTCGATATGATAATAGTTGAGTCCAAAGTATATTTTTAATATAAGATCATTTTGAATATAAGAATGTTATAAGGGCTAATTTGAACAAATTTAATAGCATATAGCCAAATTAAGTATATAAGCCTTGTATATATATATATTTATAATGTTTTTAGTAAGGTTACCATGCAATATGCATTCTATTTTATTGGAAATTCAAGAAATATAAATACGGTTTTATTTATATAATTGTTAAAATTATTTTATGAATTATAATAGATTAGAGTTCGTTTATATTACTATGTGAATTATGATTATATAAATTGAGGTTAAATATAAATTATGTAATTTTACTAATAACATTTAAATGCTAATTACTACAGTCTTCTCAGTCAGTTAAATATTAATCACGTCGACATATTTAATACGATAAATCTAATATTACACTGTCAATAATAAAGTAGCGTACTTGAATACTGTGAGTTTATAATTTTTATAATTTATGTCACTAGAATTAAAATCTTAGTTTATATTATAAAACAAATTTATAAAGGATAATTACGTTACTCATATTTAAAATTTGAGTATGTGCATATAAAATTTTTTAAAGCATATGAGGATACGTCTTATATATATATATATATATATATATATATATATATATTTTGTAAGAAGCTTATTTTGATTTTAAATTAGTTTTAAAATAATTATTAATATTTATTGGATGTTTGATATGTAGTAGTCATAGCTAGTCTTATATATTATGATAATATACTTATATAACATATGGTTAATAATGTAATTATTAGAAAAACATAGTAATTATTTTTAAATTTTATCAAATTAGCAAATAACTAAAATCAAATATTCTTCAAAATACTTTTTA